TTTAAAAATGTTTTTATTTTATTGAAAAATTAGTATTAAATTCTTTATTTCGCAAATATTATAATAAATGATTATGAAGTACATAGAATATATAATAATTGTATTGTCTGAAATATTTAAAAAAAAAAGGATTACCAGATACATCAGAGAAAAAGAATTAGAGAATACTGTGGAATTAATGAGGAGCAGCTGACAAATTCCATTCAAAAGCAAGTAAATTACTGTTATATTTTTATTTTGCTTCTTTATAAAATATATTTGATGCATAAAGACAAAACATGTCTATTAAATTTGATTTTTATATGTTTTTTTTATGAAAAATATCCAAAGAGATATACTGACCCATGCATATATGAAAATTATATTATAAATTGTGATATTTGCGTATTTAAGAAACTTATACTAATTTTTCAATAAAATAAAAACATTTTTAAGATGTTGAACGCCCAGCGTGAATCGGTGGATCTTACCACGGAGCTGAAATTTGAGACTCGTAGTGTACACAGTTCGATAGCTGAGAGAGCGATACGATTCAATGTATTTTTTAGATTTTTCGTTGTTCAGATCTTTATTTAGACGAGAGTATTTAGAAAGATAAGTTTGTGGTCCAAATAATAAGGACGAGATATGTTATAAATAATAAGGGTCTTGAAGTGTGGTAGGCTACAGAGTTGAAAAAACATTTCTAGAGAATATGTTTATTAGATCTTTCATTGAATTTTACCAGAACCTTCGTTCAGTCCAGCAGTATTTTCCATATGATTTTCGTAACGTCTTTATTTCATCTATCCTAAAATGTTTGTTATATAGCGCAAGAATGAAAACGGGAAATAGAATACCATACTAACAAAAAAAATTTTATACCTGAGTTTCAAAAAAAGGATTATTTATTTTTATCTAATTTCTGACTAATTATATTTCCTTTGATAAACATCCTACCATTTTAGTGTCTATATATAACTATCGCATTCAGCATTCCATTTTTATTCCTTAAATTTGGAAAAGTGTACTTTTTATCGACTACTCCACTCACTAATCATACCGGTGACCTTTATTATATATGGTAATAATATTTTAGTAAGTAAATCCTACAATTATCTTACTCTTGAAACTCTGCATTCGTCTGATTCTCTAGAAACTTAATTTTTTAAGGTTTCACTTCTAACACGTGTGATCTGCACACATGATTTTTTTTTATATATATTTATTTAACAATATAAAACATGCTACCAACCAAAGACAAAAAGTCTGAAATTAAGGAGAAAAACACGATAAGGAAGATTCCAAAGAGTTCAAAGGAACGTGTTCGTGCATTTCGTGCACGCAGAAAGGTGTTATTGAATGTGCAGAATATTATTTATAATTCATGTAATAATTCATCCACTGTTCAATACAGTGAAAACGATCATCGTCAGTATTTAAATATCTTCTAGTCAATATATTTCTTCATTATTTTTCATTGCTCATATATCTCATACCTAATCGACATACGTCATGTTTAAAGCATTAATTTTTATTATTCTCTAGTTAGGCGACTCTTTAGTTAATATTATTATTAATTTTTAATTTTTTTTAGATGTTTCTTAAGTTACAAATCCTGACATTCCGCATTCACAATTTCTAAGAAATAAATTTGCCCATGATATTTTTTGCGACAAATTTTTGAACAATATGTTCGGTTATGCAACTCTTACGTATAATATAATAATTGAAAATTTTAATGCAATTAATGATATTTTACTGTGCAACACGTGTTACCAATCAATAGAAAAGAAAGTTATTCCAATATTGTCCACATACCACGGTTTTAAATATCAAAACATACCTGCGTCTCTTTGCCACCACTTGATTTAATTTCTGAAAGACTTGTCTCTCCGCGAATTCCATTTATGCAAATTAGACGGTTGAGGCACATCCATGGCTAATACGGAATTTATGGTCAAATTATTAATGTACCAGTCGAAGTGGACAATATGGTGGAACATTTACCTCGCAATATTGATAATGACCATTGTATTAACGTTCATATCAAGAAAAAAAAAACAACATGTGTGCAGATCACACGTGTTAGAAATGAAACCTTCAAAAACTAAGTTTCGAGAGAATGAGACGATCCCCGCTACCGCTTCCGTCATCCGTCCGCCACCTCCGGGAGTAACAGAGGCGGGTGTAACGGGGGCGGTAGCAGGGGGCGGTAGCAGGGGGCGTCTCACTCTCTCGAAACTTAGTTTTTGAAACTTTTATTTTTATGATCGTTATCGTTATGATGTCATACTAGATAGATAACGTTAGTGGTTAAGGTTGATTAAAAAAAAAAAAAAATGTGATGAAAATACATATAAAAGAGAGAGCGAAGAAGAGAAAGAATCGAAAATCGTTTCGCGTGACGTTACTCGTATGAAGTAAAGATGAATAAAGGATCATTGGTTATATGGACTGTTCATGTAGCCGTATTTTCAAATGAAAAATCGCACCAGGCAAATTAATCGATGTAGGAGAGCCATAAAAATATCCTTGAAAAACGAATATCGACGTTCTAGATGCGCCAATGTTATTGATGAAAGCATTCCATCTCGCTAAGGTCTTTCCAAAAATTCACTCCAAGCTACTCGCGATTGAATTTCAAGAGTATGTGTGTGTGAGAGAGAGAGAGAGAGATCGAATAGAGAGGAGTACTATAGATCGATAAGATCCTCTCGTGCTTGTTCGACATCTCTCACAATCTTTCTTACGTTACCAAATCTATAAAGTTTTTTCCTCTTTTATTGGAAAAATGTTTCACATTTTTCTTAGCAGTCTTTATTCTTTCTCTTTCTTTCTCTCTCTCTCTCTTATTTCGACGATAAGTTATTATCCGAACAAACGTTCTTTCAGTAACATCGTGTTAATTTTATTTTTCAATGTCATTTTATCAGTCAAATTTATCTCCAATTATTACTCAGCTTTTTAATTAGTTCCAAGAGAATTTTAATTAAATTATATTATTACTATGATGATGATATAAAAGTAACGAATGAATATAGTATAACAAATATATTTTATTTATCTTTATTTAATATCTGTTATCGATGAAAGTATCGAAGAAATGAAATTATCCCCTGTTATTTAATAGAAATTCATTATGACTTTCATTGATCGATATTTCTTTTGATAGAAAGTTGATTTAAAATAAAATACTCGAAAAGTGTTAGATAAAAATCCACATTTAAGTGTGGACGTTTTATACGCATCATGAACAAGAAGGGTCGACAAACGTTAGTAACGCGCTCTATTCGCTTGTGCGTGACCTGGAACGTACACACTCGTCGCGTTAACGGAAACACTGGGACGCAATCTGATTGGCTGATCCCTCCTGTAATTGCTTGTAGATCCCAATCGCGATTAGTCGGGAAATTAATACGGCCCTGGGCCTACGATTTATGCGACTCTGTCGCGGATTATGTATATACGATTCACACACACACTCTGTTTCCCTATTCCTATATCTATCTATTTCTGTCTCCCTTCCTCGCAACCCCTTTCGTTCGTTCGACGTAAACTCTACGAGAGGCATCGTTATGGTGACACTTTCAAACGATCGTTCTGACGTTTATAGTTCTCGCTTCTGACTATAAATATTGCGTCGTATGAAATTTCCGTTTAAAGATGTTAGTAGAATCTTTGAAATACAGACAGATTCTACAGAGTCTATATTAACGAAATCTAATTAACCAATGACGATAATAATCTAAATTAAAGATTTAATCGTGAATCAGAGAGGTCCGTTAGAATTGAATTTATTAGACATATATACATTATCTTACTTAATCATCCGAACGACGTGTCACTCAAAACTCAAAAATCCGTGTCTCGTTTTAGACGAATCATCCTGTAGAAAAGTAAACGAATGAACGATGAACGATGAACGATGAAACTATTTATAGCTTAGCGCGAGGTATTCTCTTGGATAAAGATCACGACTTCAGAACTCAGAAACAAAGCGATACTGTTATTAGTCCTGACATCTACAAACTCTCAGAATAACAAACGTCAGACGATCGATCTCTCGTAAACCCGTCATCGATCAGAATTCTTTCATCGAGAGATGAAGTTTATTTGAATTTTTTAATCTTCCTAAGAGATGTCATACGTTCATCGAAAAACAACGATCGATTAAATCGTTTCGAGGCGATTGGTAAAAGATTTAAAAACGAAGAAACAATGTGGTGGTAGTTAGGTGTTCAAGGGTCCAAGCTTGGTGACCATTACCAATGAGCGAGACCCTTGCGACACGGGTCAACAGGCATTGTCCGATGGAATTACCAGCAATAGGTTCCCGTGATTAAATGCCGTTGCACTATTCCCCTTCAGTTTGTCCACCTCCTCTTTCCACTTCACGTTCCCCTGCGAAGAGGATTCAGAGTGGCAGAATGGAAATGGGAGAGGGAGAGGAAGAGGGACAAGGAATTCGTAGATACCAATAGGAGGAACGTTGGTTTGCCATTCGTACTTGCATACCTATACCTCCTCGAACTCTCCTCGGCCCATTCTCGAACTCTTAGCGACTATGTGGAGACGGATAATGCCCATTGTTTCGAGCATCCTACGTATCCATGGTCCAGAACACGATGCTTAGGAACCTTCCTTGAATGCTTCCTCTTGGAACCGTGATAGAGGATATCTTCAAATGGTACCTAAATACCAGCTTAAATGCAAGCTCGACCAGTTTCCGTAGAACTTCCCTAAACCATGGACCAGTAGTTACCTGCGGTTCCGTATTCAGGTGCAAATTGGGCACATGGGACCATGAATGCCATTTGCAACTTCCGATCTTCCTCTCTCCCACTACATTTCCGTACCAAGGCTTGCGGTTTGGCATCTCTCTCTCTCTCTCTCTCTTTCTCTTGAATCTTCATTGTCGTCGTCTTCGACAGAGAAAGAGAGAGATTTTTATTTAACACATAAGTTTATAAAAATTAGGAAACAAGAATAATGTAAATTCTCGTAAATATTTGCTACAAACCAACTTTATGTACAAATACGATCACCGTCTATACAACCTTTGAATCTACATCGACACCTTATAATAATTATTTTATTCGTCATATGTACAAGATAACATAATCATTAAATGACGTTTATTTTTTTTTAAGTGGCAGTGACTTTCGATAATTGTCTTTAGTGTTTATTTTTTATTTAAATCCAAGGCCCAAGTCGACTTTCAAGAACACTGGCCGCATCGACGCGACCCATCAGTCTTAAATGGTTCAAAAGATCTGCTAGAGCTGTGGCTTCGCGATGTCTAGCTTCCCATAAATCCAGAATATGTTCGGTCGGACTCGCTTTAGTTGCAAAGTAGTCGACGTACCTGAAATGAAATTTTAACAAATTTGTTAACTCGTTTGTAATTAATATTTCAATTAATCGTAAACATGGATATAATTGTCTTACCGATCAACTTGTAATCTTTGAGCTAACATTCTCCAATCGTTTCCTCGAGCGCTAGGAGGATCTAAGCATTGACAAAGTTGCTTTCTCAAAGTCTTTGAAAACCTATGAATAGAAAAATTGATCGAAACTTAAAAATGTAAAAAATCGATGTGGATTCGAACAAAAAAAACGATACCTGAATGGTCTAGAAACAACAGATTCCGTAGATCTCGTAGAATTTTTTCCCCGCATAATGATAGATGATTCGACCTTTCCATTATTCTTTTTGGCGAGAACGTTACCTCTTTTAGCGAGATCAAGATCGATTCTTAACAGCAAACCCTGATCTTCAAATCCACGTTGACACGCTCGAAATTCGAAACTAAGTCTGATATCGCCAACGATCTTTTCAATTCTAAAGGAAAGGTAAATGCTCGATCTCAAGGATGACCATACTCGACGGTATGGCACTTCTTGACGCTCGGCAAAACCGCTTTCTCTATCCTCGAGATCGACCCGAAGCGAAGTACCTGACGCACGAAATTCAAGAGTACTGTGATCGATGTGCGCACCACCAAGACGATGTTCCTGTCGAAAAAATAATAACCATTTTCTATTTTATATTTTCTTCAACCAAAATATTAATCGCAAAGGATCGATAACAATCTAACGAAGAAAATAATGCTTACTCGTTCGGCTATAAGTTTGAGAGTTGCTTTGGTGTCCTCCAATATATGACATCTAACGCGATCTCGTTCACGTGAAACGAAAACAGCCACGCAAAGACGTTTAACAGCTAACCCAGGAGCGACCATCGAATTTTCACCAGCTACAGCATAAGCGCAAGGTGTTTCCGTTACGAGAAATACTCCTGCGTGATCAAGTTGAGCAAATGGTTGTCCAGGTAAATTAGTTGGTTCACCACCGAGGGTTAAAATCTTACGCCAAACTGTACTGGAAGGTGAAAGGCTGGTATTCGTCGAAGCGTTAGATGAGTTAGTTGAACGAGTTTCAAGGTCGATGTCAGTCGACCAAAGACTCAACTCCCAATTTCCAGTTCTAAGTTCGGCACAGTGTTCAAACTGTAAAATCACTGGTTTCAGTAGATCAACGTTGGAGGGACCACACGCGATCACAGCTGAGAGCAAAGTTAATCCTGGTGGTAATTTTGGCCTCAATGAATCTTCTCCTAAGATGGCGAGATGCAAACTGTGACGTCGACCACGTGGTACGGCACCTTCGGGAATTGACATGGAGACACTAACTTCTGGAACCACCAAAAGCGCACCCTGTTCGTCCACGTTAGCTCTAACCACAAAACCGGTTGAATGCTCGTCGTTGATCGAAGATCTTTCTTCTTCGTCTGGTCTTTCGTCATCTTCCTGCTCTTTTTCATCCTCGTTTGTACTCTCCGAATTGACCTGGCACGTTGAACCTAATTAATAGAAAACAAACAAAAAAAAAAAGAAAAGTGATATATAAATCGTAAAGAAATTGGAAATTTATTTGAATCGATTTAGGCGAACCTCTTCCTCTCTGAGAATTTCTGCAAGAGGACCTGGTGACTGATGAACTGGGTGATGCTCTTGTCGTTGATGGAAGCGACAATTGTGGCATATCGTAATGATGTTCCGAACAGGATCTATCGATATCATCATTTATACTTTTCATTGAACGATAGATGAAAGGCAGATCAAGGATAGATAGTTTAAGATAAGAAAGAGCTTTTACCTTGGCAATCTAGAAGCGTTTGATTCGTCGATGACGTGTTCGAGACGTTTGTCCACCGTCAAAGCGGTTCGATCAGTCTTCGAGACAACGGATTTAGCGAGATCAACCGGTCGACGAAAGTCCAATCTTGCTACGCTATAAAGAGCTTCTATTCTCTCTTTACGGCGCATCAAACGAACCATGAAGATCGTGGTTAAAGCTAAGATTATTGCCGCGAGACTGAGCGTGATCCATAAGGCAAAAATGTTCCTGTGATCGACCGCCCTTGTTGCTGAAATAAATATTTTTCCATGGTCTTCGATTACGCTTAATACTTAGTTTATGGGTAAAAAACAAAAATGAATGAAATAGAACAATTCAGTTAGATATTTTGTTCCTTTGTAGAATACGATATTATTTACCTTCCTTGAAGACTCTCGGCCCGTCGTGTCCAAGCGCTGCTTGTAAGAAAGTAAAGGAAGAGACTATTATCAACGTAGCTGTTTAAACGTTCCAAAAAGAGAACAAATTATTGACGCGTCACTGAAATCTTGTTAGCTTCTTCTCACGACTAGGAACTATGTAGGATACTGTAGAAATCGCTGTCACGAAGCAAAATCGTGAAAGGTTGCTCGAGTGTAAAGAACAATGAGGAAGAGAAGAGATGAGAGAATGAGAGAAAAGTTAAACTCAGTTGGAACTCACCGTTACATCGGTCCGTAGTACAGGATTCGACGATGACGTCCTTGCCTTGACAGGGCCGACCACTATCGCTCGGTAGGGGGTCGTTGCAGGATCTCCTCCTTACTCTCGAACAATCGGGACCGCATGCAGACCACGAGGACCAGCTTGACCATCTGCCATCGACCGCTTCAAATAACGGGTAAACGAAAAGTCTCGATTAGGAGCTTGAACGCGACGAGATCATCGGATTTGTGGGCGCGAAAGAGGCGAAATAAAGAAATCAAGAGAATGAGAAAAAGAGAAAGAGAAAGGGAAAGAGAAAGGGAAAGAGAACGCATCTGTGTGATTTTTGTCAAGCGAGAGTCGGAGGGAGCCTAACGAAATGAAATAAAAGGGCCTTTCTTCTCATTTTACTGTTCAACGCACGTAGAAACTCATGGAATAGAATTCCCGTTGATTTTACCCACACCACTTCGACCAAGCGCAAGTACTACGTTTAATCTGATTGCGGTTGACGCAATTTATTAAGTACCAAAGTTCCTCACTTTGTCACCTACCAGGACAAGAGGGATTGCATTCGAATCTTTGTGTGGCTGGTCCAGAACAGGTTTGTCCACCGTTGATGGCTGTTGGATTCGTGCAAGTTCGAGTTCTCTTTTGTACACCTCTACCACATCTCGTACTACATTCCGACCAACCAGACCAGGAGGACCACCCTCCGTTCACTGGGAACACAATTAAGTAATGAAAATAAATTAAGGAAAAAAAAAACTCTAATATTCTAATCAAATTCACTTACCGTAAATCGTGAGTACTGCAGGCTCACTGACTCTACGTGCTGCTAGATTTTCCGCCACGCAAGAATAATTCCCTTGATGTCTGAGTTCAGCTTCTCCTAGGCGTAGATATCCTTCAGTTGTCTGCACGAAACTAGCAGGTGACACTTCGTTGGGACTCATGTCGGAGGTAGAAGGTAAACCGGAGATTGTCTCGAAAGGTAGTCCGTTTCTCAGCCAATAGACCTTGGGTGGTGGTATTCCCAAGGGTGGCGTACATCGTAATTCCGCATTACGACCGGCTTCGACGGACAGCGAATATGGCGGTGAGAGGAAATGTTTCTTGAGGTCTGCATTGGGAGATATCCCGTGGGTTCTTTTAATATTTGTTGAAATTGTGAGCTACGGGAGCTCGATACAACTGAATGACAAGGATCGAAAGTGAAAGAAACAGAGAGCGAGAAAGAGAGAGAGAGAGAGAGAGAGAGAGAGAGAGAGAGAGGGAAAGAGAAATCGGAAAAGGGTGAGATGAGGAAAGAGGGGCACTCTGCGATATTAGGGCGTGCGTATAAATGCAAAAGAGCTTTCATAGACTAGTTGAAAACTCCCCTTTTTCTCTCCCTCCGTCTCTCATCGTTACTACTATGCAGGCTGGAAAGGCAGAGAAAGATTTGTACGAGCTGTGCGTGTGTACTACCGGTGGCCATTCGTTCGGCGAGCTATACCACTGCTATAGTATTATTTGCCGTACCTGAGGCCGTTCGCGAATATAGGGAGGACTGAGGAGGGACTGCCACGATGGGTATTCATATTCGTTCTCGTCAAGAACGCGAGCGAATTCGTTCTCTACGAGAATCTAACAACGCTAGTTAGTTTTTTGCTTGGTTAAACCTGAAAAAATTTTTCATAAACTCAGGGTACCTCGATATTTCCTCCTTCTTCTTTTTCTTTTATTCTGTCTTCCTTATTATTATTTTTCTTTTTTTTTAATCTTACTATTTCTATTGTTAGCAGTAAAATATTAAGCTATAAGATCGAGTTGTATTTGCGTGAAAAATAATATTACTTAAGATGATTAATTAATACTTCTTAAGTTATTCCGGAAACGTATTACAACGCATCAACTACTACATATATACTCGTTCACGTACACGATTTATCGCGTACTGTACGATTTCTAAAGTACAAACGAGGTTTCTATTTATCGTAAACAATGATTTCATTTGCCGCATCCCAATTCGATGCACACATTCGAGAGTTTCGTAAAATGCCAGTAAAACATCTAAATTGGAAAAATGAATTGAATTTTTCTTTTTGCCCGAAAATTCGGATGTATATCGTGGAATGTATTTTATTTATACTTCATTTCTGCCAAAGGAAACGAAATGTACTAGAATAATAAAAAAAAATAAAAATAATAATAAAAATTTTTAAAAAGAAATAAATGATTGGAGGATCCAACCACGTTCACTTTTTGTATCAAACAGCACGCATCCGGTAGTCGATCGGTACGCCAAACACTTCTGTTTCATTTGCGATGGAATATCGATTAGATTTTGGGGAGACGGTTTATTCATCACCGAATATCAAATGAAAACACAACAGAGCATGGACAAGTACTCCCTTTACACCACTTCTCACTCTCTCCTCTCCTTCTCTTTCCTTCTGTCATCTCGACTGACCCTCGTTCGAAGAGAGAAGCTTACTAAAGAGAGAGAGAGTGAGAGAGAGAGAGAAGCTTACTAAAGAGAGAGAGAGTGAGAGAGAGAGAGAAGCTTACTAAAGAGAGAGAGAGTGAGAGAGAGAGAAAGAGAGAGAAAGAGAGAGAGAGAAAGAGAGAGAAAGAGAGAGAGAGAGAGAGAGGGAAAGAGAGAGAGTGAGTAAATTTCGTGTCTAGTATCTCGAAAATCCCTGCACGAGGATCGGGTGCACGCTAATCGAGTTAATGAAGTTACGTTTTATCGACGGAATCGAGACACTAGTTGCTACAATACGATTTTCTACAACATGGATAACTTTCTCTTTCTCTTTTCGTTCTGCAAGTTAAAAATGAAGTTTAAATTAAGTCTTGCATTTAGAATATCTAAGGCTAATCGTTTTATAGATAAAAAACCTTTAATGATATTACAAATGTGAGCTCGATAGGACCTTTCACGAAGCTAATGAAATGTAAAGTGTGAAAGATGAAAATATAATGTAACTTCATTTGGTTACATACAGAAACGAAAGTTATAACGGCATTTGATACTTTGTACTTCGAAAGCCTACCGCTTTGTGGTATTCAATCTAATTTCGTAATATATTGTTCTCTCCGTCTGTCTATCTAGTGGAGAAAGAGAAGAAAAAAATTTATTAAAGAAATTTGATGAAACAGTTTTGTTCTTTTCACATAAGTTCGCTCGTGGTAGAAGAAAAAAAGAATTCTCACGTGGACGATGAGTCTAGTCTAAGACAACGAGGAACGATAAGACGAAAATGATGATAGTCTAGTATGGTAGAACACAGGTATGATCAAAGCCACGCACACGTGTAAAAAAGCCTTGGAAGGAAATGAACGGTGGTAAAAAGAGAGAGAGAAAGAGAGAGGTAGAGAGAATATGAAAGAAGGAAGAAATAGTGAGCTTTAGTAATATCACCTGCCCTGCGGTGGCATTCTTTCGCGTCCAGAAGGAACAGGCCGAGCCGTAGTCGAGCATTAAAGGCATGCTTTAAAAGTACACTCGAGGCACTGCCGAGCTTTTATTTTAAGAGGTTAAATCCCTGACAATGTCTTTTCATTTCTACGAAAAATACCGTTCTCTTGCGATATCCCGTGAAAACATTTAATTATCACCCTCGGTATCCTGCATTTATCTGTATATACGATTTAGTAAAAATGAAATTGTTCAGCTTGACGTTTTTATTATACTATTACTTCTTTGTCTTTTTCTTTCTTTTATTTTACCTTTCTTAATTCAACTGAAGGAAGAAGATTCGAAGAGGACAAAGAAGTGGACACTTAAATCTTCTTTTCGAAAATTATCACGGTAGTGGTAGGAATTGTGAAACTAAGAGATTCTGCCAGTCGCATAAATGAACATTCCAGATGGATCGAAGGAGAAGAGAAAAAGAAGATAAGGATTTGGATGAGCATCAAAGAGTGAGGGAGAAAGAAAAGAGAAGAGAAGGGATTCCCTCTACTTACAGGCGACCTCAACCGTGGCGGACTGCCCTTTAATCTGACCTGATCCCGACCAAGCGACGCACTCGCACTTGAACTTCTTCGATCCAAAGTACTCCTCGACCTCGTTCCTCGTCACGTTCAACTCAACCTCGACGACCCTCGTTCCGGTACGAGGGTCTACAAAATCCTGCTGCTGCGAGTGCTCAGCCCGTTCGCCGTTGCAACGAAAGTACACCTGCGAAAATGTAGCCAGGAAAAAAAAGGGGGAATGCGAATAAGTAAGTACTTAATCATTTCTTTTTGAAACGTTACAAACTGTTGTGCCGATTTTCTTTCCTCGCATACACAGGCACAAAACAATTTTCTCATTCGTGACTTTTCCTTCCTTCTTTTTTTCCTTTTTTACACGCGAATAATTACTCCGGAATCTCGAAAAAAGATCTTACCACTACTTCTTTTTTTTTCCTACTATTTTTCTCTCCCCATTCACACAGGTCAGTTGTGTACCGCACACACAGCGTTCTTGGTATTTAGACCAACGTGTGATTTCTATGCTCGGAGTTTTTTTTTGCGAGAAAAAAAATAAAAGAAGAAAAGATTTTCAGGTCACTCGACGAAGTTTTCCTAATGTTATGCTAATACGAAATTTTTTTCTTTTTCTATGAAAAATAGAACACGAGTATTCAATTAAAGTGACGACGATGACGACAAGAGCTTTTGAATAAGTACTCGTTTCTCGCGTATGAATATAAAGAGGACTTAACGAGAAGGTTTGGTAAATTATAAATAAGACATTTTCTCTTGAGAATACATGGAACTCGAGAGTAATCTTTAGTGGATTTTTTTTCTTTTTGTAGGACGAACAAAACGACCGAAAGAACAGTGTACTTTTCTTCTAAAGCTTGCGGCAAAGGTTTCACAAAAATATTACTTCAAGAGCGTGAGCAGCACGGCAATGAAGAGTTGCCGGTTTCCCTTTGACGACGAAAGAACGAACAGGTTCCACCAAGAAGATCGGTAGCGGGCCTCCGGCAATAAAATCGGTGTCGCTTGATATCGTAGCGGTCTCATAGTCGTCGTAATCATCACCATAATCATCCACTGCATAATTTTCATCGTCTTCTTCCTCCCCGTCTCCTTCGTCTTGCGTACCTATGATAGAAAATATTTTCAAAACAAACTAAAAATTAAGTCCACGATTACGTCATATATGTATAACCAAATAATTCGAATTGATTTATGAATAAAATTGTATCTAAACGATAAGATAATTCATATTTTTGTTCTATTATATCTGCAATAGTGTATAATCCATCTATCTATCTAGATATCACAATTCTGAAGGAGTTCTTTTAACGAGGGATATAAAATGAGTGGTGGCTTTACTTCGGGAAACTTTTGGTCTACGTCCGATCGTTTATCGTTGTGAATACTCGATGTTACTGGTGTTCTTTGTTGAATGGGGAAGGGGGGAATAAAATAGCCCGCTTAGAGGTAGTAATCTCGATATTGTGTTCGGACCCTATTCTTGGCATTTGCCTTATATGAATTTTCGTTTTCTTTTCAGCTTAGAAGAAACGATTCCTTCAACTCTTATCGGAAATTTATTTCGAAATAAAAAAGAAAACAAAGAAATAGATCTTATTTGATCTCATTAGAGTAGACGAAAGAACAAAATTATAGAGATAAAAATAGTCAAGAATTTTGATTAGTTAAATAAAAGTTGTCAGAAACAAATGGATTTTTCAATAAGCAAAGTTTCTTACTTTCCAATGTGCTCGATAGACGAAGTAACGCCAAGAGCAGTATACTGATCCTTAACTCCATCCTCGACTCACATTTCACTTAACTTTCCACCCCAAAGTCGTCACGCTCTACAGATTACATAAGTCCTCCTTCGATCGAATACGCGTGTTTCCGGCGTACTCAGGAGTTTCCTCGTGTTCCTTCACCCGTCATACTTGTTTCCACGGTTACATTTAAATGATTTGATATCTTCTATCGTTATCACGATCCACGAATCGGAGAATTTTTATCGACGATTCTTCTCCGTAATCTTCGATAACCATTTTTGTGGATCGACGATGGTACGACGATCCACGCATTTATTTTTCATTAAATGAATTCAAAACATTAAAAAAAAAGAAATATATACATATATTTATATATATTAAAAAATATTAAAAAAAAATATGTAACAAAAGTTTCGGAATACAAAGTACGCTCGAGGAATGATTTTACATGACTAATTCAAAGTGGAATCGTTAATAGCACTCGAGCCGGCACTTCCACTCCGAATGAGGTGGCACCTAAAAGAAGGGAGGATAATGACACGTGACCGGTTTTAAAAAGAAAAAAAAAGGCTGTTGGTCCTTTCAGGGTGAAAGTAAAAAGAGAGAAAGAAAGAATAAAAAAAAAAAGAAAGGAAGAGTATGAAAAGAGAAAAAGAGAGTAAAGGAGGGGAGCGGAGCAGCGTAGAGGGAATAAGCGTTCGAACGAGATCGAGAACGAAGGAAAGACGAGGGATTCGTAAAAGAAAGGGTTGGTTGCGACACGATGCTCGCGGGTCGGCACGCGCTGGACGACTGAACTTGCCGACGTGCGCGCACCTCTATATATACATATATACACGTCTCACTTCGATACCGACGCTCTTCTTCATCCCCTTGTCGTCGAGGGTGGTAGTGTTGCTGGTGTTGCTGCTACTACTGCTGCCATTACTGGTGGTGCTGGTGCAGCTGCTGTCGGTGGTGGTGCTGGTGGTGCTTGTGCCATTACTACTCTGCTCTTGCTTTTAGGTGGTGGTAATATAAATGCTAGTGGTTATGATGGTGGTAGTGATAATGGTCGTGGTAGTAGCAGTAGTAGTAGTAGTAGTAGTAGTAGTAGTAGTAGTAGTAGTAGTAGTAGTAGTAGTAGTAGTAGTAGTAGTAGTAGTAGTAATACTTAAGAATAGAGGTGGTTGGTGGTGGTAACCGTGCCGCCAACGGAGGCTGCGCTTTCTTCCGCGAATACCATCTCTCCTTCCTGGATAAGGGAAAGGGATAGAAAAGGAACGATCGTAGATTCGAGATAACGATATTTTTTCGCAAAACACATTCTCACCTCTTTCTTTCTTATTCTCTCCTCTCTTCTCTATTTTTAAATTTCTTTCGAAATTTTTCTTTCTACAGAGATTTGTTTTCCGATCATCCTCTCACAATTTGTGTGTATTTTATTTTATTTTATTCATACTTTTAGGATCCTTTTAAGAAAGAGGTATGTGTTATATTTTTGCGAACGACGATATTATTTTTCTATATTCTCGCTCGATTCCTTCTTAAGCACATCTTCTGATCGGAACTTAGCAAATTCTATTACTTCGTCTTTGATTTATCACCGTGCGACGTTAGCGAATCCAATATAGAGTATCGCTCAGATGATTTATGGATGTTCAAGACATTACGGTTATCCGATGTACTGCTCGCCCGGAAACGCAAGTTTAACGTACCGTAAATGACGATGGTGTGCTAAAGTTTCTTCGATAGATTTTTACTAATTATAAAACCTATCGGATTATAGAGAATTGATATTTAACAAGAAAATGTGTCACCAATCTAAAAATTGAAGATTTTTCTTAAATTATTGAATTAATTAATCGTAAGTCTACATTTGCATCTCAGATAGAACTAAGATTAATAAGGCGTTCATCAAGAATGAAAAGATATCATAAGAAAATAAAAAATAAAGAGAAGAAGATCCTCGCGGGAACGTATGGGATTTCTGACGGTCGATCACCAAGGATTCGTTCTAACGTGAAATCGGATCCAACCGCGGCAACGACGTTAGAAGCGTTCTCGAGTCGGCGGGCTTCTAGCCTTACGGTTGAAGAAACGAAGGGTGTAACGGTAAACTAGCTTTCGAATCGGTTGGTTACACCTTCAGGAAACCGATACCTCTTTGATTCTTCGTGTAAACAAACCACACAAGCACATTAACTTCCATGTCTCTTACTACAAAAGATCTTCGTCCTAGTACGATTTTCGATTCTTCTTAGGTCAATAAATCAAAGATACCTACATCTATCCGTTTGGGGGTAGGTACTAGTACTAGATCGAACTTTGCGGTAACTCGATATAAAATGATCTTCCTATGACATTCTATAACTCTTATCTTATGATAAAAAATAAAAATAAAAAAGATAGGAAAGAAAAAAAAGAAAATTAATAACGAATCGGATGATCGATTATTCCATTCCTGTCAACGAAACTTTTCCTATCCGTTATCATCGTCGCAGTTATCGCATTCATTTCTTTTTTCATTTTTTCCTCTTTTTTTTGTTGCACGAGGGGCTCAGTAGAAAAAGTGAATTCAACTTTTAGCAAAATCATTAAAAACTTATCGACTGTCCCAATCGAAATTAGCAATACACGTAGCCGGGACTACGTGCGTTTTAATACGACACGTTGCGTGCTACATCATTTTTACGATCGTTCTCAATTCGTTTCATGAAACCAATCATAACGGGGTGTGCGGATAGGTAGGCAGGTAGAGGTAGGCTGATATAGTAGGATTTTATAAAATAACAATGTTGTGTCGTATCGACGTTTTGGCGTTAAATTAACGTTTCAGACACAAGTGGAAAATCTGGATGAGACTGACCGGTTGAATTTATTTGTAGACACTAGAATATAAAAATAAACAATAAATATTAGAATCAAAAGTCAACGAAATGAAATGCAACAAATATTTGATTAAATAAAAATCGAATAACAAATTAACGAGAATTTATGATTCGTTTAGAATATATGATAATAATTATAACAATAGTTGAAGTAACTTCAAACTCGCAAGATCCGGAAGTATGATGTTCATTAAACCAAATTCGATTTGATTTGAAGGATAGGAACCGCTACACGATTTGGTGGACACAACTAAGGAGTGAAGCACTCAAACACGCTTTCCGACTGTTTACAAACTGCTATGGCGTCGTTTCCACCCCCTTGGCTTCGCTTACTTCTAGAGACGTACGTCTAGACGAAGAAAATCTCTCCATGTTCCTGTTCCGATGTCTTGCTTAAGATAATGAATAGCATCCTTGTGAATAATAACTGAATACGCATAGGTAAGCTAATATTTATACTAACAAATTTACCTACCATTCTAATATTACTTATAATAAGTTAATTACTCTATAAACATATATAATTTCGAAAACGATTAAAAGATATATTTTTGAAAATAGTATCCAGTTACATGTCCTGTAGTTAACACGTTAAGTGCCACGCCGGTTACTAGATACCAGCGCAAGCCTTTCCATTTTTCTATCGCGGCGCGTGTGTCGGTCCTTGCGTACTTGTCAGACTGAAAATTTAAATAATGCGATATCGGTTTTTTTTTGGTCAATGCTTCAAGGAAAAGAATATATTACTTAAAAACATTAATGTAATTTAGGGTCCGCCTGACGGCTTACTGTGGTTTGAACGGAACGGCAAAGAAATTCAGCGTGGCGCTTAACGTGTTAAAAATATTGCATAAAATTAATTTCGTAAGTTGTTTTAAACGAACACAAGTTTTTCTTATAAAATTAAATCACTCCAATTTATTGCATTTGTTTTTAAGGAATTTTTACATATAAAATATTTTGTATTTTATTAAATAAAAATTAAAGAAAGTATGTGTGTAGATCACACGTGTTAGAAGTGAATCCTTAAAAAAACTAAGTTTCGAGAGATTGAGACGAATGCACAGTTTCAAGAGTAAAATAATTGTAGGATTTATTTATTATAATATTGTTACCATATATATCAAAGGGCACCGGTATGATCTTGGGATGAGGATAGCTGACAAAAACTATCACTTTCCACATTGTATCAATTAAAATAGAATGCCGAATGCGATAGCAATAGATAGAAAAAAAAAAAAAAAAAAAAAAAAATATATA